CCCCCCCCCCCCCCCGCCCCTCCCGGGGGGGGGGGGGGCCGGGGGCCTGCCGTGAGCGCCGCCCGTCCCGGCGCTCGCTTGGCTCTGCCTTGCTCGCGTCCGCGGGGAAGCAGGGGGCCGCCCCGCCGCTCGGCAGGGCTGTCCCGCCGGGCGAGCGCTTCGCTCCCTCCGGCGCGGTGCGCGGCCTGCAGCCTGCTGCTTTCCCCGGCTGTCGCGAGAAGGCCGTGACAGGCGCCTGGGCTGGCTCACGGTTAGATACTTTCAAAAGCCCTTCCGAGTAAAACTGGTGGTGTCGTTTCCGTACAGGATAACAGGATCTCCGTTTGGTCTGTTGGGGATCTTGGAAATGTGGGCCTCAACGGGGAATATCAAGGAGAACCTCAGCTGCTGTGTGACATCAGGCACAACGGCGATGTTATGGACATGCAGGTAAAATAGCTGTGTTGAATAGGTCCGTATTTTTTAAGGGCTTGTCACTTAAGAGAAATTAAGGGATAGTAAGCTGGCAAAATGCTGAGACTGAAAAAAAAATTCTTATGAAGAAGGGGGGCAAAACCAACCAGTATCAGTTTGTGGACTTGGGTTTGGTTTGTGGGTTTTTTTTACTATACCTACCAATAATTTAGGCTACTCTAAAATAAAAATCATTATTTTGGTACTGATGTCAACTGATAACATGCTTATTATGTCTCTTCAGTTTTTGGATCAAGAGAGAATCGTGGTTGCCTCATCAACAGGAACTGTAACTATATTCCGTCATCATCAAAATAACCAGGTAAGTAACTTGCCCCGGCTTTAAGCTGCTATTCTGTGTAACACAGGTCACTTTGATCTTAGCGTAAGATTTCTCAGAACTACTAGAGCAAGAAACATCTGTGTACCAAAATAATTTTTTTGAAGTCTGTTAGAAAAAGCTTTGGCTTTATACATACAAGGAAAGAAAAAAGCATTTTGCACACATACTACATAAATTAGACTCCGGAGCCAGATAGACTGGGGTGTCCATTAGTACATACCTGTAGCCAAATAGTCCATTCACTGAAAACGTACTTTAAGAGTTTAGATTGGTTTGGGGGAGTGGGTACTAATGGGCTACTACCTGCTTTATTAGAGTTTTTGCATTCTTGAACTAAATGACTTGTGTTGAGTTTCTTCTCACAAGCGTCACATGAGGGAAGATATGTAAACTCTGTAGTCTTTTGCTTTGATTATGAATCACTGAAAGTAAGTGCGTAATGACTTTTTTACATATTCACAATGACACAATAAAGACTAATACCTGTTAATAGTTTGATGTGGTACCTAAAATAAAATAAATTCCTTGCAATCAAAATCTAAATCCGACCTTACATTTTGCAAAGGCCTCAGCTTTTTTCCCTTGGCCTGGGGAAAGATTGAAGGGGTAAGTCTAGTGAAAGGCATTTCACAGTTCATAAATAGATCGTGTTTTCTGATTTCTAGCTCATGTGAAAAAGGTGGTTCAGAGAAGAAATAATCTGTGTTTAATTGAAGGATTGCGTGCTCAAGACTTCAGGAAAATTTAGATCTCTGATTCTTATTTGTATAGGAGATTCTCATTCCTGTGAGGTAGTGTGGCTTTCCTGGAGCTTGTTTCTTGTTTCGTGAGTATTCTGGAAGCTTTGGTCTATCAGGATCATTACTTACCAGCAGAATTTCATGTCTGGTTACTACTTAGACTTTGTCCGCCAACCAGCGGTGGGAGAAAGCCCATTATCATGTGGATCAAGACACGTCTTGTGGTGGAGCAGCATGTACCGGAGTCATCTGCAACAACCCAGAAATTGTCACTGTTGGAGAAGATGGTAGAATAAATCTCTTCAGAGCTGACCAAAAGAGTGCAGTAAGAACTATAGGTATGTCAAATAACTGTTTGAATTAGTTTAGTTTGGAGTGGTTTGTTTGGTGTTTAGCTTCTCAAATGATAACCAAAAAAAAAAAAAAAAAGTCATTTGAGAATTGAATTAAATATCCCAAGTTGAATGTGTTTCCTCCAGGTTATTCCTATATTCCTCCAGACTTCAGATACCTGAACTGTATTTCAGATGTATTTCTATATTCATTCAGGTATTTCTAAGTTAATGTTTTAACTGATGGAGAAGTTTCAAGCCTAACATTCTCGGTAGGCTTCTGTTTCAGCTAGAATTGTTAAATGCTATGACAGTATGCATGAAATATCATTAGATTTCAAGAAGTATTGTGTCCCAAGTTCTTCATAACTGGAGGTCAGTGAAATGGTAATTTCAATTCACTATTTGTACTAAGATTAACCCTCATGCTATCCATATTCAAAACTATTTCTCTATGTCTAAAGGAACACCAAGAGGCAGAAACCACTGTTTATACCCTGTTCTTCTGCCAGATATCATGGCTTACAGTGATAATGTCTCCTTTAATGGAAAAACTCCAAATTTCGTAGAGTAATAGATCTTTTCGTAGAGTGAGATCTTTGTAAAAGGTGTCAAAACTTGGTTATTCTCAACTCTTCTATCATGCTAGTCTCATGGGAATAGAATACAAGTTTGTAGCATCTGTTGGAAATGAAACTTAAAAGCAGAAATTACTTAAAGGACAGTAACACCATGTTTGATAGTGGTATTATTAAACTGGGACTTTCTCCCTGAAACTTCCATTTGACACAGCACCTGTGTTTCTCCTCAAGCAAAATCTTGCCTCTAATGGATGAAGGAATTTACACAGTGATAAGCCAATTAAGGAAGGAAGTGCTCTGGGATTTCTAGATGGGGTACTTATGTGTGCATGGCTGTATATACACACACAAGATAAATCCTATTAATTGCATACAGTCTTTTAGTGAAGCTCCTTGAGAACTCCTGTAGGAAGCTTTTCTATGCTTTTACAAAAGAAAAAAAAAAAAAGAAAAAAGAAAAGGGTAGCAGGAAAGGGGGGGGGGAAAGGGTAGGAGGGCATGAGGCAGATTTTATTAGCACATGCCCACAAAACACAGTAACTTGAGGAGTGAGAACATTAACTAGTTTATTTTTAAATTTTTACTTACATACAGATATTAACACAGAGTGTTCTGGTACAAGTTTAAAGGAGTAGAATGTTTTGCTGACTAACAGGAAGCAGGTGTCCACAAAAAAAAAAATCTGTTTTTTCTCTGGGTAATTGCTCAGATGCTTACATACAGATCTAATAATGTGCAGGATGCAAGTTGTTAGTTTTCTTAGTGCTCACTTGATAGTACTATGTAAAAACGCTTGCTTTGTAGGGGTAGCATCAGCCAGCGTTAGGCTGCAGTAAGACTTTGCATTGAGATTTGCTGGCGCATAAACGTTTAAGAAATCACATATGAATTAATTGAGAAATGCCCTGTTGGAAATGGGAAGGGAAATGTTAAAATAGGAATGGTCCATAAGTAAGTCTATCACACCTATGACCTGGTAAGTAAAGCTTACCTGGAGTTATGTGGAAGGGACTAGCACGAACTCATTGACTAGAGATTGGTTTACAGTAAAGGTTGGAGAGGGGGAGAGAACATCTTGGAAGATGCTTCCAGGTTCTTCAGGATGGAGATCTATAGTGTCAGCAATCCTTTGTAATCGTTCCCAATTCAATGACATCTTGACATTTCCCAGGTGCTAAGCTGAACCCTCAGCATGTTTTAACTTGAAGACAGAGCCCTTGTACCTCATGAAATACTTGTAAAGGAGTACCTTGCTATTTTTATTATTGTTTAATGGATTTAAGAGTAATACAAAGTTAATATGTTTTATAGACAATCGTGGTAGGAAAAAAATCTCCAAAGTTAGAGATGATGTAAGAATCTTTTGGAGCCAAAAGATCTATCATTGCTAAATCACTTATGTTATTCTGTCACAAAATTTTAAACCATTTAGAACTTCAGTGTTCAGTAACCTAACATTTCTTCTTAAAGGTGTTTTGGTGTTTGGTTTTTGTTTGTTTGTTTTTTTTTTTTTTTTCCCCCTTCCCCTCGTCTTTCATTTAAATAGTAGGCAGAAAAGAAAACTCATACATTGATGCCTGGTTACAGATATTTGAAACTTGTCTGTCTCAATATCAGAAAAGGTTTGCATCTTATACAGGAAAAAATTGACCTATATTTTCAGTATGGTCTTACACAAAGAATTTTAAAACACTTGAAAGTAGACTTAATAATGTTACCCAATCATAATCAAGATGAAAAGTTTATATATATAATAACAGAATCAAATTATAAGAATATGGTGTCTGTTATTCTCTCCTAAAGCCTCGAAAGTTTCACCTCAATGCTGTGCAGTGTTTGACGTTGTAAATTATTCTGACCAAAAGAAGCACTGGAGAAAAGGACCTGAAAAAGAGCTTTGCCATTTAGCTATAAAGATTAACAAGCAAAGCATAATTCTGGTTTGGCTTTAGGGACGGGGATGGATATCACATTGTCAGTTCTTGGAGAAGGTCTAAAGGAAGTTGGTGAATTAAGTGCTTCTGTATGCAACTGCTTAACGTTTCTCAGCCAGTTACTGTTTCTTGTGCGCAGAAGAACTGCGTTATGAAACGCTCCATAGGTCTCCTCGTGTCTGTAGATGCAGAGCATATAAAGAAAACTCTTATGAAAACCATGGACCTGGCTAAATTGATTCCTCTTCTTAGGAACCATAGAAAGAAATCTTGTGGATCAACAAGTAGTTCTGTCAGCACCGGAGCTAATTAAATATAGCTTCTTACAGATTTGTCTCAGTAGTGTTTGATACAGGAAGCAAAGGCTCCTTTTTCACAGGGTACCCTTGCAACACTTAAATTTCACATGAGACTGGTCTGTCTCTGCCCCTGAAAACGCAGAGAGGTTGTAACCATGCTTAAGCAGCTGTGTTCTGTTCCCTAAAAAGAGTTAATTTGTTGTAATTAAATGGACACTAGCATTCTGCAGATTTACCTGAGTGCTTTCCTCATCTCTTGCAGACAATGCAGACAGCAGTACGCTCCATGCAGTGACTTTCCTTCGCACAACTGAGATCTTGACAGTAAATTCAATTGGACAGTTAAAAATATGGGACCTCAGACAGCAAAGAAATGAGCCATCTCAAATATTTTCTTTGTAAGACCTTCATTTTTTTACATATTTACTGAGAAGCATGTGGTACTTTATAATCTGATGTAAATCTTTCCTGATACCTTCTTGACAGTGAGATGAGAAATGATTGATTTTTTTTTTTTTTAGAAGGTTTTTAACTTCTTTGGTATTTAAATAACCAAAAGCAGATGCTGCTTAATGGCTGAATTACTATTGTGGCTGAGCATTGTATTTAGGTGGTCTGTTCTATGATTTAACTCTTGAAGGACTATCACACCTGTACACTTGCTCCTTTTTAAGAAGAAAAAACAACCCTCAACCCAAAAATCTTTCTCTTCCCCTAATTAAATATACTTTGCATTTGTTTTTCTCCACAGGCCTAATATAAAGTTTCTAGCATTTGAATGATAATTTTGTGCTTTATATGGTATTGTGAGAAAACAAACTGAGCTACATTCAAATCCTGTTGCCTGTGGAATAATTCCCATTGCTGTTAATAGGCTGTGGTTGAGGTACCTGGTTTTGTTAGTGCCCGGTCTCCCTTTGCAACTCTTAGTATATGTTGAAACTGTAATTGTAACATGAATTTCAGAGTAACCTTCTTATTATTGTAGGTATACTTAGAGTATTATCTGTATGCAAGGTTTTCTCACTCCTGTAAAGCTGTCGGATACCGTGTAGATGCCTGTATACCATAGGGCACAGAACCTGATGCTCATCCAATTGTAGCTTCACGTTATTGCCATACCTCTAATCTCCAGTAGGTGTCACGCGGCTTCAGCCTGTAGTGACCAGATCCTGCAGGAATTGAAGCTGCAGTCGATACCGTCACCTTGTTCATCAACACTCCTAGGGATTAAGAAGGTGAAAATAGAAGCTGAATAAAGAATTCATGTTTGTTTGGTTTGGTTTTTTTTCCTCCTTCTCCTTTGCAGGACAGGTGACAGAGTTCCACTGCACTGTGTGGACAGGCATCCCAATCAGCAGCATATTGTGGCCACAGGGGGCCAGGATGGGATGCTGAGTATATGGGACATCAGGCAAGGTACTATGCCAGTGTCCCTGCTAAATGCTCATGAAGCAGAAAGTAAGTATCTGAAATGGAGGGGGGAGAAGAAGGTGGCATTTTAGAAAAGTTTCTAATTTCTGTAAATAATTAGGTGTTGTAGCTACAATACAGAACAATCGCATAGTTGCTACTTAATGTGTCTTCATCCAGTTGGCTTCAGTTTGTTCCTTCTCTGTATATGAGACTGTTCTTATCTAAAAGCCAACTCTATCTAAACTAAAACTAGAATTAGTAAGCAGTTCTTTAATGAGTCATTAGATGCATTTAATCAGAAAGGCTGTGTTTCTAGAAGGGTAGGTATATTCATAGTCAGAGAAATTGATGCCATGGTACGCACGTATAGTAAAGCAAGAATGCAGTTATTAACAAGCTTGAAAACATGAGGAAGGAGGGGAAACTGAAGATCGTACAGATCCATTGAGTGCCTCCACAATGCTGAAACAGCTCGCTTTCCTGGTAATTTTATATGAACAAGATAGCAATTCATTTTGTGCTGAAAATTTTTTGACTCAATGCCACAATTATATTTAAGGAGTAAAAATATTTCTTGAGATGTTAAGTTTTACTGACTTAAATATCTCTTCCACAGTTGTGGTATTTAGACACAAAATAATAATGCGTGTGCTCGGAAGGAATGCGTGCTGTGTGCAGATTTAAACTTAATGGTAGGGAAGATGCATGAGAAAGTATTCAGAATGCCTGAATTCAGATAAGATTTTAGCCTTTAACAGTTTTCACCGTACTGAAAGGCAACAAAGTAGAGTCTCTTGTTTCTTTTTTTCCTTCTCCCCCTCCCTCCGGGGAGGAAAAACTGCAGTAAATAACTAAGGGTGGAGTTTTGGGTCTCCTGCCCACACACACTTAAGAATGGAAAGTTTTGGTGGGGGCCCGGGTTCTTGCAAGTGCATGTCCATATCACACTAGCCAAAGCGCACTGAGCGAAGTACTTGATAATTGTTCTGAAGTGTGGTTTTTTTTTTGTTTGGTTTGGTTTGATACTTCCAGTGTGGGAAGTTCACTTCCATCCCTCCAACCCTGATCACTTATTTACGTGTTCTGAAGATGGATCTCTTTGGCACTGGGATACTTCCACAGACATATCTGAAAAACCATCTTTTCTTCATCAAGGTAAGGATGGTTGAAGTCAATCTGCACTGAATTTGTCAGGTGGCAACATAATTAAGTCGATGTTCTCACAGGGCCCAATTATTAACACAATCCTAATACAGAAAATTAAAAGCTGGTTTCTTTTCTTAGAAAGAAAGCCCTGATAGGCACTTCAGGAAAACTGCTTATAAGGCTAGCAGTTGTGTGAGGTTTTTTGTGGGGTTTTGGGGTTGGGTTTTTTTTGTTTGTTTGGTTGTTTTTTTTTTTTTTTTTTAAATCTGCTGTACTCTGTCCAGTGTGTGAAGGGACACATCTAATATTTCAAAGACAGATTGTGTTCACTTTAAAATCATCTGTATATAGAAGACGTGAAGGCAGCCTAAATGACACATTACTATCTGAGTCTCTGAGGCAGATGTTATAATACCGAAATAATTGATATGTTAATAGGGTAGTGGAATTATGAATTTACTACTCAAGGTCATAATTGGAACTTTCAATGAATGAAACTGGATCCCTTTGTATCGTGGCAGGATTTTAATTAAAAGATATGATACTGATTTAATATAAACATTTATTTTCACATTCTAGTCACAAAGACTGCTTAATGGCTTGCCACTTCAGACTGTAAACAGTGGGGAAACTTTCAGATGGCGTCTGCTGCCTTTGGCCTCAAAGTTGCCATTCAAAGCTTGGTTCTATATAGGGAAACAATAGGATAACTGATTCAAGTTGCACTTCATGTGTTTTCAGGTATATTAAATATAAACCCTTTAGCACCACTTCAGCCACTTGTTAATTTTATGCTGAATGATAGTTCTCAAACTGTGAGACTTCAGTTTGAATGTAAAATGTTATGTGGAAAAAATTCAAAGTCAAATCCAGTTATATCGCTTGCTGCAGAGTAAGTAGGAAGAAGGGATGGTAGGGAATAAGTGTCATTAAAGCAAAGATGATGCCCCAGATATAGCAAGACACTGTATAAACAGACTTTCGTTCTTAGGTCTGTCTTTGCTTTAGTCTCTGGCTGGAAAAACTTGTAGATACTTACACTGTTTGTTCAGCGAGATGAGTTCATAGCTGTACTGACCTATTTGTCTTAACTGAGGACAGAGCTGGTAGCAGGTTTCTGTAATCACTTCAAGTACTTGTTTGTTTTGTTGTTTTTTTTTTTAAGCTATTTTTTCCTTCGTTTACCAAAGAGACAACATATGTTAACTAATCTGAAAACTGATTTAAATGTAAAATGATATTCCCATTATGTCTGTCCCATACTTACTATGTTTCTCCACATTCTGAGAATATATAAACTAAATTGGAACTTATTTCCCTCAAAAAAATCCTTCTTTCAGGAGGAAGAAGTACTACCTATTTTTCCCACAGTACCATTAACCAGTCTGTAGTAAGTGCCTGGCTAAGCAACGATCCTACCAAAGACCGCATGGAAATCACTAACTTAATTCCAAATCAGACTTTGTCTGTGAATAGTTTAGATATTTTAGGACCATGCCTAGTATATGGTACTGATGCAGAGGCTATTTACGTGAACAGACAACTTTTTGCATGAAACGACTCCAGTGTCCCTTTGAAGTACTGATCACCTTGAACTACTGGAAAATGTCAGGTTCGTTCTTAAGGATACTGATTAGTCTGTTATCAGCAGGTGGGGGAGAGGCCTACAGCTTGGTCCTGGTACTGCAGAAGAAATGTAAGGTACCTCAGATTCTGACAGCTGTCACTTGTTATTGATGCTCCAGGATGGGTAACATTTCCTCCCCAATGCCTGTTTGGTTTTGGTAAGCAGGCAGGTAGTCACTAGGGCAAGATATTTGCTGTAAACTGATGTCCATAATACACACCTGCATACAAAGTGAAGAAAACGTAAACCCCCAATTTTTTTTTTTTCCTACTAAAGGTATTTTTCAAGAATTCATTCAAAGGCCAGACTATGGGGTTCTTTGAAATTCTTTTTATGTCACCTGAGAGAGATGGGGTTTTTTTAATCTGAGTTTTTTATATATTTAAGGGAGGTAACTTTTTATGTTAGTTCATGAGAATTGGAAAGGAAAACTGTTAAAGCTGTGAAATGTGAAAGGTTCTGTAAGAATCTTAGCATTTTAATAACATTATTTTGGATTATTTACAGCTTCATCATGGATGCTGTGTGTTAAAACTTGATCTTGATAATGTGCCTGTAACTCTCAACAGAAAAGTGTTTTTTATAGTTAAGAGGTCAGAATTGACAGATGGGTTGGCTGTGTTTTCAGGTGTGAGAATAAGACTTTCTAAACTGGAGACATAGTTTTTGTCACAATCAAAATGTCACATCTGGTCTCTTGCAATCTTTGAAAAGTTAATGTTTATGATTCGTGTTGTACCTACCTTTTGTTGCAGAGGACCCTTTCTCTTTTTAATAAAAAGTTTTGCACAAGAATACTGGCCTGACTTACTAAGTCAGTTCGAACAGGCGTACTTGTAGTCGTCTTGGCAGGAAGGTAAATAACCATACGTTATTTGGACTGGTCCTGGGGATACAGTCTGAGGGATGGCGGGAACCCTCAGGATTCGGGCAGCAGCAGATTAAGTTATAAGGTTTTACGTGGCATTTTCCATCAAAACCGCTTTGGAGCATACTGTACTTCCACGTCGGTGACAACAGCCTTCTTGCTCTCTTGTGGTAAGAACACTTTACCTGCTCCGCGCTGCTCGCGTCCCTGGCTGGCGGAGAGGGACGCTGCGCTGGGGCCGGGGCTGTCCGCTCCCCGCAGGAGTGCGTGGCGGTGGCGGTGGCGGGGCTCCTCAGAGCGCCTCGGGTGTTGCTTCCCAGGTGGTCCGCCGAGCAGTACTCTGCCTGAAAAGGAAAATCGGCCGAGGTGCGCCTCTGAGTTCAGAGAACCGATGGGGTTGCCTTCCTGGCGGTTTACGCGTGTTGGTCCGTAACGAGCCCTTCGTGCGGGGGCTCGGCAACAGTCTGTTCTCAGTAGAAAATCGGTCTTGGTCCGTGGGGCTCGGTGCTGCCGCGGAGGAGGAGAGCGGCGCCTGAAGCCCGGCAGCGGCGGGGGACCTGGTTTTCGTGTTCCCCCGGGGCGGGGGGGCGGCCGCCCGAGCTCCCGGCCACGGCGAGGGCGGGCGGCGGCCGCCGCGCTCCCTCCGGGTCGGGGCTGCGGGGGGGGCGCCGGGCGCGCAAAGGCGGGCGGGGGCCGGCCCAAC